CCACCAAAAAGAAAAAGAAAAAAAAATGCACAAACACAAAGACACAAAAGAAGGAAAATAAGAAGAAAAAAGCGCCGTATGCACGTGTCTGTGAGTGCAGCGTCGAGGGCAGGGCACCCCTGGCCACACTCACGAGAAGCAAGAATCATGCAACTGAGGGGTACCGAACCATGCAGCTGAGGTTCGATGCTGGCAGCTCAGGTTTCGAACCAGCTCAGGCTCAGGTTTCGAACCAGGCTCAGGTTTCGAACCAGCTCAGGTTTCAAAGCAGGCAAATAACTGCCAAAGCTGGGACAGCGACCATGACCTGAGAGCAACACCAGCAGCGGATGTCCCGGAGGAGTCGGGAGGACTACCAACAGCAGCTTATCCCCATTGGCCTACATCAAAAGAGAAAACAAAACAAAACAAAACAAATCAAAACAAACCAAATCAAAACAAAACGAAAAAAGAAGTTGCTCCAATCTGCCTGCGCCAATCTATTATGCACGTGGCACAAGTAATTGCCTTTCCTCCAGCTCAAGTGACAACGGTAGTAGGTAGGACACCAGGACCCACTAGCGTGGAGTTCCGCCGGCAAGGGCCTGTAAGCTAAGCTGGCTGATGCTGCCAGTAAACCCCGGGTTGAATTGGGACTTGTGAGGTCCCCGATGTCGTCTGGTTTCTTTATAAGGAATTGAAAGAGAGAAAAAAGGAAAAGAAAGGGTCTCGCTGCACTACTCTACTTTGCGCAAATTCGGAGAGTTATGCATCGCGGCACAAACTCTCCTATAGAACCCCAAAAGAAATTCGGAGAGCTGTCAGAAACCACAAAAGAATTGCACTCTCCGTCGTTGGAGAGTGCCCAGCCTGCAAAATCCGTTACGGGGAGAGACCTTTGAAGGAACCACCGATTTGCTCCAAATCTGGAGAGTGAACCTTGAGTCTGGGCAGACAAACGGGGACTTTGAGCTGTCATTTTGTACCCTCGATAGTTGTAGAGTCTGAGTTTGTAGAGTTAGTGCAGCGATGACCCAAAATCCAGGAAATCGGAGAGTCTGACAACTCTCCACGTACTCTGCGATTTCCCAGAAAGTGGAGAGTAGTGCAGCGAGACCCAAAAAAAGCAATAAAAAAAGGGACTTACGTAAAAATTCCATCCAAAAAAAAAACAGAATCTGCCAACAGGTAACTCTGGAGTAACAAAGTCTCGAACGTTCTCGCACTAAAGTAACATTTTGCGATTTTCCCTAAGGGAATACTGGCACTAAAACTTCCTGCATGTATCTGGGCGCAATTATGGCCCACCATGGATGTATCTTGTGTCAACGGGTAACAACTCCTTAGTAACAAAGGCTGTAACTCTTTCGCACTAGAGTATTATGGCCGGCCATGGATGTATCTGACAGGATTACGTCCACAACTGAGTACAAAAGGTCCTGACGTGGCATACATGTATATATATGAATATACGGCCTCCAGATGTTCGACGGTATATAGGTATATACAGCCTCCTGATGAGTCGGTGAATCTCCAGCGGAACAGTCTGTCATAGCCCCCTCGTTTGTTGTCCTCTTCTCTCCCTCTCTGCCTACGGTTTACCGAGCAGTTCTGTTTGACGATATATATTGTCACACTGTGAATCAGAGTGCGAAGGCGAAGGAAAAGAAGGAAAGCCCCACCTGTTCATCACCTCTTACGTACAAGGCCAGCCACGTGGATGACAGGTTGCCCGTTGGCTGCCCCCAATCCCGTGTGTCACAAGGACCCACTTGCACGCAGCCAAAAGGCAAAGAGGTAAAGAAAAGGAGGAGGAGGAAACCAGACCTCACAGAGGCAAGAGAAAGAGAAAGGTCAAAGAAAAGACAAATGAAGAAAGCAAATGACACATCCCACAGATAAACCAATTGCCACTGTCACTACAAAGTTCAACATTTTTTTTCTTTTTTTCTTTTTTCTTGTTTTCTTTTTTCTTTTCTCCAGAAATTTGTACTTCTTTTCTTTCTTGCTTTTATATGTCCGACAATTAGTGTTGCTCCTGATCGCTTGATTCTATTGACCAGTTAGGAAGAGGAGCCCCCACCCCGGCAGATAGGACAGGCACGCTGAGGATGACGTGGACGTTCACAAGGATACCCAAGGAGAGCTACTTCAGAGCAGCATTCACCGGGACGGTTAGCACGGACCATCCCATCAAAACAGTCCTGACAAAGGACATGCTGTCCACATGTCAAAAAAACAGCAGGACGTTCATCACAGTGCGGCATCACGCAGTCCTGATAGCATCCTTGAGCACAGAAGGGACAACGGATATCTGGGTGATAGGGATGTGCACAATGAGGAAATGTTGGACACCCTTCGGCACAGACGGCAGCGGCTGCAATAGATTGATAATGTTGATGGCATAGGTGATGAATTCCGCAGCCAAGACGCACCGCGTCCCTGTCCCGACAGGTGTCACACGAGAGTCGATCAATAATCCAGAATAAAGTATGATTCGGTAATGCACACAGATATTCATTTATGTTGAGAATAGCCTGAATCATTGTCCTACCATCCCACAGTTCCCACTGGGCAGCTACACGAATGAGTGCCATATAATGCCCCGGTCTGTGCAAAATACAGGCAAAAATATGAGAATGGTTATTGAGGTCATCGCCTGGCGTCGCATGATGCATAAGAAGGTGACGACCTTGGAATGCTAGCTGTAAGGCATTTACAGTAAAGCCTCCTCAGGTAGTATAATTACTACCTTCAGGAGGTGAACCATTATGGTCATACAACAACTGATTTTCAACTGCGTCAAGCTGATAAGCAATCGCAACAAAATGGGAAGCAGTATAACACTGACGCTGATAAGCCTGTAGGCGGACATTTGTGGCTGTCAACCCACAAGCATTTGGTAGATCTGCCCGCAGATCCGATTCGGTCACCACTGGAAAGCTAGGTCTGATCTGGCGGGGTCGGCGCATGAATGATGAACGCCGTCGACGTGGCAGAGAAGGCTGTCGGTAAGACAAAGAACCCTGCAGATTAGCATCAACACGACTTCGAGAGGAAGGGGGACTGGGAGGAGGAGAGAAAGAACGAACCTGCCGACGTCCCGATATAGACAATGAAGACAAAGGAGGGGCCGATCTCAGCCGGCGTTGGGGGGCAAATGAAGAAGAAGAAGAAGAAGAAGAAGAAGAAGAAGAAGAAGAAGAAGAAGAAACGGATGATGCAGAAGTAGAAGAAGGGGAAGTCGACGAAGAAGAAGAACGAAACAGTAATGGCGAGGCCCATCACCACGAGTCCACGCTTACAAGTAACTCAGTAACCTGCATGGACTGTAAAGCTCACACACGCGCACATTCCCCGACGTCTTTCGCCTAGCTGCGCTCCAGGGCTTATCAAGGAGGCTCCAGGGCTTATCAAGGGGCAAGCGCAGCTAGGCGAAGCGCGTCGGGGAATGTGCGCGTTTGTGAGCTTTACAGTCCATGCAGGTTACTGAGTTACTTGTAAGCGTGGACGCGTGGAAGAAGAAGAAGAAGAAGAAGAAGAAGAGGACGTTGGCAAAGAGGAAGGAGAAGGAGAGGGAGGGGGAGAGGAAAAGGAAGGTGGAGGGGAAGTGGAAGAGGAAGGAGGAGGAGGAGGGGGAGGGGGAGAAGAAGGGGGAAGTGGAGAGGAAGAGGGGGAAGASAGAGGAGGGGAAGATGGACAAGAAGGGGGAGGGGGAGGCGGAGGAGGAGGAGAAGATGGAAAAGAGGAAGCGGGAGGAGGGAGAGAGGGAGAAGGAGAAGCGAAGGAAACAGGAGGAGAAGGTGGAAGAGGATGATGCACGGACCAGCGAAGCATCCGTCGAAACCATTGTGTAAGACGAGTTGCATGTATATGTTGTCGACGTTGACGATATATATACAGCCTCCTGACGAGTCGGTGAAACTTCGATGAGACAGCTTGTCACAGCCCCTCGTTTGTTGACCTGTTCACCCTCTCTCTCTACGGTTTACCGGGGAGCTCTGTCTGACGTTATACATACTTGTATATATATAATATTTGATATATATTAACTCTACATATATCAACGTATTTAGTGTACATATATTGTCACATTGTGAATCAGAGCGCAAAAAAGGGAAAAGAAAAAAGGAAAAGGAAAAAAGGGGAAGGGGAAGGAGGTAAGGAAAGCTCCAC